AATCGATTCTCCACTTATAGTTCAAATGTTCAAAAAATGCAATCCATTTGAGAAAACGAAACGGCCTTCCATACCAGACTGAACATCTGTGAAACTTTTTATAAAGAAGGTACTATAATGTTTACAATTTGCCCGATCACCTTCGCAGCTTGATGTTTGTCACTTCCTAAAATTTCCCTGAACTTCATATAATACGGTTGGCATTTAACATATGGTATCAGAAAACTGATCACTTGGCACTGTCAACCGTCTGGAATATCTTGCAGACGAGGATTATAATAAATTATCAATCATTTAACCTCTAGAAACTTTTTTATCGTCGAACTTTCATTGACTACGAAAATTAGAGGTCGTTCAAACATAACAAAGGGTTTCCTTTATCCATGAATTGCAAATAAAGCAATTTACTTTCCATTCGGACCGTCCAAAGAAGTGGCGTCGACGACGATCTGCGAACTAAAACCGAAAGATACAGAAAGTGCTTAAAATGACCATGCACAACTCATTTACGTAATGCGTTCGTTGCTGTTCTTCCAGTAAGAGCAAATACGGTGCATTTTCGCAATGAAAAGATCATCAGAGGCATCCTTTGATTGCAGTCGACCCTCTTCTATGTGTTTAAACATTCCCTTGCTTAATGGATTCGACACTGCGTCCATCGGTGAAATCTGAAACGAAATGGAACGATTGTGCGCTATATTCGTCGTGGTCACACTACAGACCGTCGGCACCCACCTCATGGGGAAGTTTATAGAACCACACGCCAGGCAGGTTGACGTCGTCGTTGAACGGTCCAATGCCATCAAAGTTAGCGGGTGCATCTGACGCTACATCCTGGCCAACGGAAACCTGGTCAGCCGGCAGTAACGCCTCAGTTTTTTCCTTCTCCTAAACGAACGAAAAGCGAATATGATACCTAGAAAGCCAATGGTTACAGTCAGCGCTCACCTGTGCTTTCCGGACAGAAAACATCCTAACAGGAGTATCGTCAATTGTACTGCCTTTGCACAATGAATTCAGCAAACCACGTTCGTTTTCATTGCTCCAACACGGACTTTTCTGAAAGTACAGCGTAAACTACTTTCCATGCAGCTTTTCCAACAGTAATCCTTACCGGAACGTCGAGGCGACCGTTCTTCTCCAGGACAAATTCTTCGATTTTTCTACAAAATATACACTCCTTTTAAAAAAACAAGATGTTCTTCATTCTTCAGTAAAATACTACTACGTGTATTTTTTAAATTAAGCAGGTTTCGGCGGTTTATTCTCAGATGTGTTGTTACGCTGCAAATAACAGAAAGCAAGCAATCTACGCAATACAATGCAATGCAGCAAATTTATCGGTACCATGAATTTCTGACGAGATTTCGATTAATATCTCACATGTTTAAAGAATGCAAGTTGAATATCGGAACTGCTAGTGGCTGTTAAACCAAAATAAACATTCTCTATGCAGGCGAAAATGTTGTTCAAAAGAATCTAATGAATTACTCATGTTTGACGTCTGAAGCCACTATTGCCCCATGAACATCATCTAAAGCTAACAGCAAAAACAATAGAATAACCCAGATTTATGACGTCTGGTCTATAGAAATATTAATAACAGACAACGTTCCGTCTGCCTAGCGGCTGGCTATCTGGCTCAACAACAAGTTGCATATTCATCAGATGTGGAGGATAGCAGCTACAATTGAGCATCAACCGACAGGCAGCGGTATGACCACCAGGGCGCAAAACATAGCTGAGTTCGAGCTCGACAAGTTCGTTCATGAGAAAAAAGTCACAATTCCTAATGAGGCTTCAGGACGAGGTGAAAGCGATCCGCACCTCTGAAGAAAAAAGGTCTACAATGTCACTTCCGCCCTGCCGTTAGACTTCGGTTCGTCAAAAGCTAGAAGAGCAAACTCAATTTCAAAAAAATTGGATGGAATTGGGGGATCCATCTGTACAAATTCTTTCACATCACCATCAGCCCTGCCAAACGGTGGAAAAACTTCACATGCTTAAAAATAAAGTTTATCGGCCGGCGCGACTCGTCGAAATCCGGCCGATCTAGACGGTGTTTAGGCCATGTTCACAAAAGGTCGTATTACTCTCCGCACGCAGGCCCGTCTCAAAGAGGTGCTTCCAGGCTTTGCATCATTTTAAGATACTCCCGCACACAATAGTTTGCTCCCATATGAGAATCGTTCTGAGCATTTTTCCTTCACCTTTCCGGGTTGTTTTGGGCCGGTCTCTGAGTTGATGTAACAGTTTTCTCTGAGATGCGATCGTCGTCACCTGCTCGTTTGTGACCACGCACTAATACCGTCGCACTGCCAGTACTCAGCAGACAGCACTGTTCGAAGCAGCCGATACGAATTTCGTGGCTTTTCGGGACAACAGATGTTTCCCGACAGAACATGAGCACCACGAATGCGGCTGCCTTCGGAATGGTGATCTTCGTCTGTTTCTACAGTTTGATCGGTTCTATAAGTTAGTCGGATCTATAGATCCATTGGTCATGCTGGTTACCAAATAAGTTGAACTATCATCCGTCTTCAAGCCGCCGTGACAGCTGGGTCTCTGAAGGTGTCCCAGAATGTGCAACCTATATCGCCCTGCGGTTCAGGTAACGTCGACCGTTTGCCGTCACCGTCTAACGTTCGACTGTTTCAGAAGGGGCACGCAGCATCTCCTAGCAAACCCTGAGTTTCTGAAAGTCAGGTTTCCTGATAAAGGAAAGTGAATCGTCCTGCGGTTGTAAATCGTACATCGCATAGGCATTGCAAACAGCGTAGACGTAGCGAATTCGTGACAGCCGCTAGCTGCCACGAACAACGCAACAATAAAATAAATGTATATATTACTGTAGCTGCGGCTTAACAATCATCCAAGTAACAAACTGACCAAACGTGTCTAATCTGAGAATTACCCCGATAAATCTATAGCACTAATGCAAAGTTGTAGTGGTAAACTTGTGCGAAGGTCAGTTTGTCAGGCAGAGACAGAAGTATCTATAGAAGGAACCAGAAAGTCAGGTAATAGCCGGCATTCGCAAGTTTCGTTACATCTTGATGGGTCGAGTATTCACACAGTTACCTGAGTTAAGCACAAAAAGCAAAAACAATAATGAACTGAATCACTTCAATGTTTAACGCCTCTTACAATTTTGCTACAGACTTCCCCTTTCCAGATGAAATACATTGCAAAGACACGCTGTCATTTTGTTATGCTTCTTCCATCCAGTCTACACTTCCGATGCGTAAGGTATACGTCGTTCAGTTGATGTTAAACGATAGAACACAACAAAATAAATGATAAAAAGAGAAGCATCCCACATTTTTAACTTGTGATCATTGTGACAAGAGAAAGATATTTAATATTATTCACTTTTCATACGACATCCGTCTAGCATATAACGGTTGCTTTCCTGGGTCTACGGCTAGCAGATAACATCGCATGTTTTGAAATCAGACCGCATGCTGAAAGTATTTCGCAACACTTTTGATAGTTGGTTAATATGGGCTATGACTTCCAATAATACGGTATGGGACGGCAGGCAGAAAATCCATCCCATCCAGAAGGTGAAGATGAAGATGTCATATGCGCTTTACAGGGAAATAATTGGTGCCCTCGTTAGAAGCTTTGCCCTCCGGGTATGTCTGTCTCCCTCACAATTTCACGATAACGTTGTTCATCTCAGTCTTTCATCAAGTTTACGACGCAGCGCTGACTTCTGATTCGATACTGATAACTCCAGTATTTACGGACAGAATTAGTGAAAAATGTAGCACAACAGAACTCGCAGAGCCGCGTTTAGCTGTTCCATGCGATTTGCGAAATCTATTTTCAATTTTGTAAGCTCTCAAATACATTAATGCTGGGGCTGATTTTCTGTTAAACGATGGGAAGAAGGAGAGATTTTATTAATCAATCAAGAGGGTTCACTTTAATTTCAACTGTACTTGTACGGAAAAATCGCCGCTCTTCGGTTTTTTTCGGTGCCAATCGTGACGAAAAATCGTCCCTTTTTATCACTCTTGAACTGAGTAAGGTTGGACTTTCTTCCAGGAACCAAGTAGCCCCAGCCAAGGCTGTTCGAGTAGTGCAGCGGGTAGCCATTCCAGTGCATTCGAAGAAGCTTCGGCGTGATGCGCATTTGCGACGTAATCTTGAACGACTCTGATATGATCGCTGCTGCATCGTCTGAGGCCGAGGCCGCATCTCCACTCGACTCACTCCAAGGTGCTGGATTTACATTCGTCGTCGCGTAAAGGTTACGAAACCAGCTAAAAAAGGCAAGGCATCAAACTATGGCTACGATCAAAAAGACTACTCAAAACGGCACTCTTCCCACAAGCCATTCATCGGATAAAACTATTTTTTACACCTGCTACCGCTGAGAGTCGATGCTTACCTCTGAACGACATTTTAAAACCGTTCCAACGTTGCTGTATACTTATTACTGCCCATGCAGCACCTTCTCAGCATATCGCAGGAGAGTTCTAGCTGACAACTCAAAATTTCACAGCAATTACTTTCACAGCCGTATCCGCTGGTCCATAGGGGGCAGCACTGAAAACTCTTCTTACGATAAACATCATCAGTAAACAGTAATATTCGGTATGTAAATCAGTTGAAAATGAGGAGCAAGTAAAAGCTCCATTATAGGAATACAGCTGAAAGACTGGTCACAGCATGACACTGGTAGCAATTCTCTAACAAAACGATACTTCACCCCGCTTGAAGTCACTCAGTGAAAAAACAGTCAACGATCACTAACAGCAACATGTGCTGCTATCAGTTTTAATAACAAGATATTTCGAAATAGATTAAAGCATTGCAATGCAAAACAATCACCTTTCACGGCCGGACTTACACAGCGTAGTCGCATCGTTTAACTGCTTCGATTCTAATAGTACAGGGGACCGTTTAAGCAGGAAACGAATTCATGGAATTTTGGCACCTTGAATGCATGAATACGATCTTGTTAGGTTAGTAAAAAACAAATTCTAACACCAGGCATTCATAGGCATCAATGCTAAAATAAAAATCCAATATTATGGGTTTGCTAGCAAACGTCTAGCTCAGTTCAACACCGCCGCTAAGAATAACAATCTTCTGTAATTTTTCCAAATTTACGCGGTGTGGTTCCTTGTTTTAAGTAGGCTAAGGGTCAGATTAAACAGATCATGGCTCTGAGCACCAGCAGACATACCTCGAACCATAGGCGTATAAAATGAAACTTAATTCCGGTATTATGGGTTATTTACGGGTTGAACAGAAAACTGCAAGTTATCGATACCGCCGATAGGAATAACAATCCCCTGCCACTTTTCCGCCTTTAATGGTGCGACTATGCCATTGACTTAATGGTGTGATTATGTTCGAAGAAGTGTAGGGAGATTGTTATTCTCGCAATGGTACTGAAAACCAGCAGTTTTTTAGTATACTAATAATACCGGAGTTCACTTTTATTATAATGCAAAACGTTTAAAACAAAAACTGCATCGTTTATGCAAAAATTTACTTCAAAACTCGAAAAATCCTTTAAGGGATGATATCGCATATCGAACTTATTAAACACATAATCTTTAAATGTTTCAGATCACTCTTCAACTTCAGGGTAGATAAAGTGTAAAACTGATAATGCTACAATACAAATCTTCCATCATCATCACCACCTTCCATGGCGCATCACCTTTCGGGACGCAGAGGCAGACGCGTCAGACAGAGCTTCCAACGTTCCCGATCCTGTGCCACCGTCTCAGCTTCGGAAAAAGACAACTGGAGTCCGGAACAGGCTTCCTCCTTATATTGCACCAGGCTAATCTTGGCCGATTCCTTGGCTTTCTGCCGGTCGGCTTGGAAAGAAAAGGCTGCTTAGAATTACTTTCTGGAGGCGTTCACAAAACATGCCCAAACAATCGCAACTGTGACTTGCCAATCCGTAGAACCAGCGGCTGCACACCAAGGCTCTCCTGGATGTCTGTATTCCCAACCATATCAAGACGAGTAAAGCCATCTACTCGTCTCAGAAAGCCCATTTCGGTCGCTTGTATCCGAGATCGAAGTTTTCAATCTTGGTTTACGATGCATGACCTTAGATAAGCATCGGGATGAAGATCGACAAAGAGACAGCTTAGTTCTTAAACTCAGCCCTGCTTCAGTCACAATGGTTCGGGCTAGTTCACGCAGAATTCCACCTGCAATTCCAATTCGCTGGTCAATTACTTCTCTCATTTTCCATCGCCAAAAAAACGTCCCCACCGGACTTGAATTTCTCCTTCTGATATTCTGCTTCTTCGTTTAGCAGAAGAGAGAAACCAGCAAGGGAAAGAGAAAACTCTAGGCCTTTCGTTTTAGGTGCGTTCGCATGCATGCCGGTCACGTCTCACTCGGCTACAAACCTTTCTAGGGTGCACTGAAGATCAGATTCAGAAGATGCTAATAAAACAAGGTCGTCTGCAAACAGCAGCCTGCTCGTCTTCACATCTCCTACACAGATACGCTCATCGCTTTGGCTACTCCTGACCATCCTATCCACGTACAACACAAATAGGATAGGGGGCAGGACGCAGCCTTGGCGAAGACCAGTGCGAACGCTGAATGGTTTCGACTTAACGCCATTAACTCTGGCACAGCACCTGCTATCAGAATACAATGACTGGATGGCCTTTAGCAGCTGAGCATCTATCCCGTATGTTCGAAGGCATGACCACAGATTGGTGCGTGGAATCCGGTCATAGGCCTTTTCTAGGTCAGCAAAACACGTGTACACCGGACGGCCGTACTTCGACGATTTCTCAACAATCTGGCGCAGGGCAAATATATGGTCAGAGGTGCTTCGACCGAGCCAGAAACCACAATGATCGTCTTTTACCTTGGAGCCAGTTATTTCGAGGCACCTCCATTCTAGCAACATTGCGTAAACTTTACTTGGGAGGCTCAATAACGTAATATCTATACAACAGGAGCACTCCTTGTGTTCTCTCTTCCTGAATAGGGGTACAACAATTCCCGTTCCCCAGTCCGCTGGTGTCTTCCCCGTAGAAATCGCAGCTTGACAGACATCTGTAAGCCAGCAAATGCCTTGTTTGCCTATGCCTAGAGCATTTTAGAGCGAATTTCATCAATTCCAGCAGCCTTTCCATTTTTCAAGCTTTTCACAGCTTGTGTAATTTCACCTACAGCGATAGTAATATCTGTTCCTCGCTGCTCTACAGGCGAGTCTTCCTGCGGTTGCTCGG